GAGCACTTAGTGGGTGCATACAAGAGCGCTGTACGAATCAGGAAATGGCTCTTTCAGGTCTCCTTACAAAAGGAAGTGAGTCTGAAGCTTACTAAATTTACAGAGAGGACGTTTGTGAACTTAATCTAGGGCAGGGGAGGGGAGGAAGGAAAGAATCCCTTTTCTTTCACTGTGGGTTGATACATGAACTCTGCAGGTTTCGGTACACAATTTGTAACAACAAAAAAGGAAAGGAAAGGGGCTGAAACTGTGGCAGTGAGGGCTGTCTCCACATGACCCTTAGCTGGTGCGTGCATACAGCCACGAAGACTCTTCTGGCTTCCTGCTTCAGTGTTCCCCCACACCCCTGGGAAAATGAGCGCTTCTCAATGTTCCTGAGGTACAGCCATGAGTTGGCTCGGAGGGAGCATCACTGCCCACCTCTACTCAGGACGTTCTTCCTGCCTCCTCTCTGCCTCGTTACCCGGCTGCTTGAGGAGCAGGGGCACAGCAGGCTCGCAGGGCACCTCAGTACTCCCGGCCAAGGGCTGGATGTGGCTCATTTTCAGTTCAAAGCAACAGATCAGATCTTCAAAGGCACGGGTGCTGCACCCTGGAGTTGAGTGTAGGTACTTCAGGTTAAGACTTGGGAGATACGGATGCAGTGGGACACAGAGCACTAGATTTTGAAAGGTTTGGGTACGGGAGGTGGTATGGTCCTGTGGCCTTCACACCGAAAAACGGCCAAAGGAGGAAGGAATTAGGTTCTCCTCTCGAGGTTATTTTTTTTTTATCCAGGCATGCGGTTGCTGAACTCACTGCTACCTTAAAATGAATGCTGAGCAAGATGAGGTGCTCACATGCAGCCCTCCAGCGCTCATCCGCACAGCAGTCTCAGGGCTGCAGGCTGCTTGCCTCAGGTGGAAGGACTGACGAACCCAAGTGGTAAAAGCCAGCAGCAACAGTCTTTCTGACATGGCACTTGCCCTCTCTGCCAAAGTGTGTTACAAGTGACCCATCTCATTACTTCACGTCTTCCAAACTTCAGGTTAGTATTGCTGAACAAGATCTGGACACTCAGACTACCCATAAAGCACATCCTCTAGCTTTAGTCTCTATCAAATTAAATTATTGAGTCGTGTGCAGGTTTATAGCCACACTAAAAACAAAAAGAGAAGTTCCCTGACCAAGTTGTTCCATTGTCCCACTGTTGTTTTCATGGAGGGCACAAAGGCTTTGGGATCATGAGTCCGAGCACAGTTCAGGCTGCTACATGGCTATTCCCAAGCAAAAGGTCCAAGTCACCTGGGATCCATCTTCCTCTCTCCAGAAGATCCAGCAAAGTTTACCAATAACAAGATCATGCCTCAGTAACTGGGCCTGGTGATGCAACACCACAGCTGGACATAGCCCACATGACTGACTGGCTCTGCATGTTAGTTGGTAGATTTACATCTTTAAATGCACCCCCCAAAAAAAGCCAGGAGTCAGCAAGAGAGCCTGACAGCTTAGACTGGTACATGCACACTGTAGTCCCACTTCCTATGCAGAGAGGTATTTTTAGAGGAAGAAGATTGGTAGCCAGCTGTGAGACATCATGAGCCCACCTTTGATCTCTCCAGCTTTCACCACCAATGCAATGGCTACAGTAGCACCAGCTTGAAAACATGGCTGAGAGCTGCATTCTGGTGGAATCCATAAAAGCCCAGATCAGACTTTGGTCTTTAACAAGAGATGGGCAGTTATGAACCTCACTCCAAAACCACAATGGCATCAATATACAAACGTTACTTCCAGAGAGACCTTAAGAAAGCTGTCAGCTCCAGTCAATTTGAGAACCATACAGTCAAAAAATAACAGAATTAGCTAATGGTCCAGGCTTAAGAGGACAGGGAGTTGTTACACAATTAGAAACATCTTTATTCTACAGCTTCTGCCTTGTAGTTACTATTATCAAAGGTTTTCCTTGTAAACAAGAAGCTTTTGTACCTGTCAAAACCACTCTGCTGTGGGGCTGACCTATCCAGCTGCCAGGCCATCCAGGTGCAACAGCTGACCCTGCTTTGAAATTCTGCATCTAGGAAGGTCCGGCAGGAAGTTACGCAGGTCTCCCCAGCACGCCTCAAGAGTCAAAATGCTCCCTGTCAATAGAAGTTTATTATGATAAAACTGGCTTTACAAGGAGCTTGGGATTTATGGGAAGGTACAGAAATAACCTTTACCAAAAATAAAGAAAAAAAAAGAAAAAAAGAAAAAACCCTACATGCAGCAGGAGCTCATATCTGTTCTGAAACAAATGTGCTCACACTGAGATTTTTCTGCCAGGGTTAATAAATGGAGCAGCAGCAAGCCCCTTCAACTTCCAAGGCATTATTTTCTCCATGTCTAAAATATGATTCCCTCCACATTAATCTTGCTCTTTATTGCACTGCAGTTGTAGATCTCTTTGAAGGTGACAGATGCAATGAAGAATACTCCAAAACATTTCAGTTACAACCTCTAATAAGTCTGTGTCTGGGGCCTTATGCACTGAGTCTAAACCAGATTTTTGCAGTGAACACTTGTGGCAAAATATTTACACAAGGCTGCAAGACTCTGTCATAGTTACCTTGGCTAATATGATTATTCCAGGTTGGTGATGCTCTAACAAAAGGAGAGGCTACACTGTCCACTTTTATTCAGGCAACTAATACAGTACCTATAGGAACTGTCATCCCAGCATTGAGGCCTGCATAGGCCAAGTTGATGATCTCCAGTTGTATGATTTTCACACACTGCAGAGATTAAAGAGCATGTTTTTAAGAAAGAGCACTACAACCTGGCCCCAACGTATCTGCTAACAACCACTATGGCCAAGGATGCTGAGATGAGAACACTATTTCACAGTTGCACAGACTCATTACCAAGCTGAAAGGCTTCAAGTGGAAAGATGACCAAATGATGGGAAACCCAAGTGGGGAATATATCTTTTTTAGCTTATGTTGTAATACCCACAGGTGAAGTCTGGAAAAGATAACACATGCACGTAAAAGTTAGTTCCATGGATCTCTGTATGTGTACGTACGTACGTGTGTGTGTGTGTATATATATATATGTATGTATTAACAGTGGTCAGTTGCTCTCCTGTTCCTCATTAGGAAAGTCTGTGCCAAGTGAGTTGAATGTTTACGATCTCTTGCACTCTTACCAGCATGAAACTTTTTTATATTTCCCATACTTGTAAAAACCAGAAGACACAAGGAAAGGATTTCAGTTAAGGCTATCTTGTTCACATTTCGGAACCATCTCCTCATCATGTGCATATGCAGGTGCTCGAAAGCAGTCATTTCCTGCTAGATAAAAGAATTCTGTTTTGATGTCTGTGGCTTGGGACATTTTTAAGCAGCACTGTAAATATGCAGTATGAAGATGTGACCATGTAAAAAGCATTTAAGTCAAGTGATACTTATTTAACCCAGGATTTCATAAACATACACATACATACATATGTAAACAAATATTAAAAGCTATTGTGTTTGGATGAGGATTAGCTACTGAAACAGACTGGACATGAAAAATTTCACTTTGCTTTCACAGGCAGTAAAAGAAGACAGAATAGCAAACCGCTGGATCAAAAAAGAATGAGGAAAGCACATCTTGGTAGAGTCTAGGGGTGAAAATACCTGAATTACAAAGTTATCATGTTCTTAAAGGTCACTGTGGCATATGCCAAATACTACTGAAAAAAAAAAAAAATACAGGCCTTTAATGCTGTACCCCTAACTCAATGGTAATACAGTTCTCTACAATATGAGAATGCATAAGTGAAAGACTAAGAGAAGAAACAAATTTATGGCTTGTACTGCAAGAACATTGTAACACAGCAGTTAGAGCTATGACTGATATTTCTCAAGTTTCCTTTCCACTACTGACAAAAACACTACTTTGATCCTCCCAAGCCTGTCTGAGCTACACTGGTGAATTTACAGTAAAAACAAAAACCACACCCCCCCCCAAACCTCACACAAGAACTCTGCTTCCTTTGCTAAATCAACATCCATCTTTACCAGTCTAAAACAATCATAGAAGCACACACTGAACATGTCAGGAGATACTGTTTTTCCATCTGAGGCAACCACATGCCTTATGCCTGTATTAAAAAAATAAAGAATTGGCCTGTATTATAATGCCCACACAGACTGGTATTTGCCTCGCCAAGGTCTGGCTGTTTTTCTCTAAACATTTGTAGAATACGCTCAGCTGGAATACCTAACCAAGTAATAACAAAGATGTTTAAAAGCATTTTGAATCTGATTTACTTTGTATTTTCTCCCCTGTTCTTTAGAAAGTTAATATACCATACCAGCACACATTTAATTCCATCCTTCCTCCATTCCTCATATTCACTGATTAATTTAGCAACATTTAAGACTCACCAACACAGCTTTAAATGCTCCAAGCTACTTGTATTACAGTAACTTGTAAAACATCATGCCCCACAAGACTCACTCATGAAAATGGCAACAGATTATGAAAGGGTTTTATTGTGCAAAGATTTCAAAATGCTGGAAATCCTTTTGTATTTCCCTTCACTTCCCTTTTTCCTGCCCTCCCCTGGCTGGGAATAAGGAAACAGCCAAGTTAATTCTATAGCTGGTTCCCACCACTGTAACATTCTGGTTCCCACTGAGCTGTGCATTCAAGCAAAAACAAGAACAAACGTTAACAGCTCCATTCCCATCCATCTACCAGACAGGAACTCACAGATGCTTCATTATATACCTCCTGCTGGCACTGATGAGGCAGAAGATTTGTATAGAAAGGAGGGGCAGACTCAGACAAAACACAAGAGTCACTGTAATTGTTCTCATTCGTAATTCTATGAGCTAATGTTACCCAAAACATCGTGCTACTTCAAGCTTTTCCTCACTGTTAAAAAATACAGGCATTGTCAACAGCATCTTGAGAACCTTTCACAGATTGTACAAATGTCACATACATGAATTTAAAGAAGATAGGAGGTGAGAAAAAAAACAGGACTATTTTGTGTAACTGGAATTTTATTTTATATATAAATAATAAGAGACTGAAGAATTTTGAGATTTGCTACTAGCAATGCTGATCCTGCAATGGGACAAGCATGGACAGACTTGAGTCCCGTTGCAGAACTGAGGACAAGGTCTCAAGGCTGGCCTAAAATACATAGTGTCCTTTCACAGATTCCATACCAGCAGTCCAAGCAGCACACCGTCAGTCTTTCCTGAGGCAGAAGGCAGATTAGTCACATTCAAAATCAAAATGGATTCAGATGTTTCTCCTCTTTTTCTTGGGAAACTGTTGCTCATATCTATATTTTTTTATTCACCTATAGCCAAAGAAAGGGGACAGAGGATATGGGGGAGAGAGAAAGAGGGAGAAAGCAGAATTACAATATCATAGGTCTTTTCTTTCAACAGTCAAAGTGTAATTCAAATATTTTTTCCTTTTTTTTTTTTTTTTTTTTTTTTTTTTTCAAACTCTATCTGAGGAGCATAATACAAATTTACTTCTAAGTAAAGATATTTAACTCTTCATATTACTGACATTAGAGCACTAATGATGATGTCTGCTCTAGAGAACTGGATTCCTACAGTTGAACTGTATAGAAATATAAAAAAGAAACAATACTTCATAGCAACAAAGCACCAACTGGAATCTTGTGTAGTAAACCAACTTTCTCAAAAAGAATTCTTTTTAAATTACCAAATGCATTTTTTCCTAATCGCAGTTACTCTGGTGTAAAGCTGGGATAATTTAATGCAAAGAAATGTAATTACATAAATATAGAACCTGAACAGAGTGAAAATGACATATGTTATCTTCATGGAAAAACACAAAGCCATGTCACTTCCGTGCAACTCCTCTGCACAACAGCTGGATAAAATTAAAGCTTGCTTCTCCAATAATGGGATGTGGTTTGAGCTGTAGTTTGCATATAATTATCGATAACAAACATACTGTAATAAAGGAGGTGCAATGCTGCTGGTTTTTGGAATGGAGACATGTTACTGTCTCCAACCCAAAGTGATTTTGTCCTTGGCTGACCATTCACAATTCAGAGACCCATGCTGTGGCAAACTGTTGAGGAAAATTAGATTGTCTTTATTTTAGTAACTGTATTCAACTAGGAATATTGCCAACAGCTGAAAATACAGTGAGACATTCAGGATTGATCTCGTTCAGAATAAACAAACATGTCTTTTGAAAGGTAACAGCAGCATTCTCCAACCTTAGGGATCACCCAAATCCAACAAAACATCTGGACTTGGGTATGGAGTTAAATAACTGGATTCAATTCCAAGCAGAAGTAACAAATCACCGCCCCCGCAGAACAGCTGAAAATTGATACTGAATTGAACTTTCACCATCTGGTTGCTCTTGGTCAAAAAATCTAGCAGTTCCATCTATGTATCTCCTCCAGAAACAACATGTGGCAAAGAAAGTAAATTTCAAAACCAGCAGCACCCAGGTACTTTAAGCACTTGAGCACTTATCTTCATTTCACTTAAAAAACCACAGAAGAACATCTGCGACAACTGTTAGTGAGGTTTTCCTCAAAATTTACTTACATAGCATAAGTATATTTATGATTAAAATCCTGAAGACAGAGGGTCTGGATACCAAATTTAGTGAAAGCCTTCCTGACAGTTTCTGTTCCTTTCCTTCCACCACCACACCCCCACCAACTCCCCACAGAAAGATAATGTGACTTAAGCAAAAAGCACTAACATTTCAAAAAGTGAGTAAAGACCTACCAGAAATTATATTCACAGAGTATGAAATGCTAAAAGAAAATAAAAGCTATTTATGGATTTCTGTTTCTAATGAACCTTGGTATTTGTACAGTGTCCCACATACACAAACTAAAGTTAAATTTTCCTGGATTTTTATCATTTAGTAGCTCTGTCCTAATTCACCGTAAGTACAACATTTTAGTGAATTTTAGAGAAGCTTTGCTTCCTCTTGGTTCTCCTGGGTATCTTTACTCAAAAAAACACCTGTTCTTCCTAATTTTTTAAATTTTTATTATGCATGGCTATTTTATAAAGTACTTTTAAAATGTGTATTCTTAAAGATTTTATATTCATATGTCTGAAGGAAAAACTAATGTAGGCATTAAATCAGCCAGCGAACATACCTTTTAGCCCTTGTGAGAGTTAGCTATAGCAATTAAAAACTCATTAAAGAAAACACAACATTAGAAGATAGTTTTGCTTTTAAAGCTGACCATGTAACTGTGGAACACTGTTGCACAGCAGATGTGTGCGTTCCATCACATCTGCAAACATCTTTGACTGGTGATGATGCATGGAAGAAAAAATGGATGCAGTTTTCTAAATCCGAACTTTGTTTACACAGTTGGCAGTTGGGAAAAAAGATAATATTTCTGGTAAATGGAACACTGCATACAAAAATAATGAGGAGTCCCTACAATGCTGGAATCACTTTCTAATGAAAAATAAGCCTTTAACATAATGTAAAAATAATACAGGACAGAGACAAGCTACTAGAAAACATGTTCAGAAGAGACATCCTTCATCAACAGATAACACAGCAGACATCATATGATATTTTGTACTAAATAATGTCCAATTACATTATCATTATCAATAATAAGCCTCAAATAATACAGAGCAATTTTTGTGCTATGAAATTGAACCATCTTAAAAGTTGAGAGGGTGTTTTTGTGTGGCTTTTCTAGAAACTGTAACAACCACAGGACTTGCTTGAGTAGAAAGCAGCCCAGTGGCCAAGTCAGAAACAGAAATGGCATTTCAGCTTCTATGAGCTTCTGGCTCATAGAATTGGAAAATGCTGCCTCCATTTCCTCCACCATTCATTCCCGACTGATGAAGTACGTCTCATTAGGGAGGTGCATCAACATGAAAGGTCAGGCACATTGTGGACTGTTACATTCTGTAAGATAACGCTGTATGCTGGCATTGAGAAATCTTTATGGAAAGGATATCAGCAGGGAAAAGGTTTCTTTCCCTGCCTTCATACCTGCACAAGTGTGACAAAGGAGGTTTTAGGTAAGGGAAGCAGAAATGGGGAGAAGGAAAAAGAAAAACCAACTAACAACTAACAATACATTAAAACAAGGCCTTGCTAAATTAAACCAGAACCCTTGGCAGAAACATATTTACTTGCTATGCTCTAAAGTTGAAGTATTTAAATTAGTTAGTGTTAAGGAACACACATATTCTTAACAAATGTTACAACAAATAAAATTATTACCTGTCTTCATCAATATGAAGAAAATAACTACAAGTCAAACTTGCAAATATTCAGCTTTTCCATGTTATTTTGCTGCTGTAGTCACATACTATTACCACTCTTTACCTGTTTCATGACAAGCGATTTGGTGTTCTACTTCTGGACTCGCTCTTCATTTGAAGCAGCATGGATTTCCAGGGACTTGTTACCATCTGCATCACCCTTGCAGAGGGAGAAATACGCACAAAATTTCAACCGAGGCAATCCATGATTAATATTTTTGCCAGAACAGAAACCCTCTTCAAAAGCTGAAACCAAAAATTCTTGCAAAATCACGTGGTTGATGAGACTAATTCAGTATAATATACTCAAATATGATCTTCTCCCAAACGGTTTCTAGATTTACATCTTCCTGTAGTTAGCTGAGCAATTAAAGGTTTTGAAAGAACAAGTAGTTCAACAGAAATTCTTTAATTGACTCATTTTGCCTGCACTAATAACAGAGGATGAATTCCCACAGAGTAGTTGCTATTTTGCATTCCCTAAATTCTGTGTGGATTTATACAATAGGTCTCTTTTAATACATATCCTTTGAGAGAGTGTTCTCACACTTTCCCCAAAATAAATGATAGCAGTCAAAGAAGGGAGGGAGGCTTGTTAGAGTGTCTGGTCTATCTACTTGCCAAGTATGCTATAACGAACAGGCATTTGACTATAGTTTTAAATAGATATCAACAAAACATACTTAAAGGGCCACACACGGCTATGGGACTGAAGCACATGACATACAAGGACAGACTGAGATGTGGGCCTGTTCAGTCTGGAGAAGACCAGACAAAGGGAGAACCTAATTGCTATCCACAGTTCCTTAATGGGCATTTATATATTTGGAAGAGCTACACTTCTCAGAGGTTCACACCAAAAGGACAGGGAGCAAAGGACACGAGCATGGTAAATTTCTATTAGATCTAAAATAAATGTATTGCACCATTGATCAAGCACTGGAGCAGGTTTTCCAGAGAACTTTTTGAATCTCCATCCTTAGAAATATTCAGCACTTGACAGCACAAGGCCTGAGCCAATAAATCTAACTTCAAAGCTGTCTGTTTTGAACAGGGTGTTGGATGAATTGATCAGTGGTGGCACCCAGCCTTAATTATTCTTAAATTCTACACATGAAAATTAAACGGCATTTTCTTTTTCTTCTAAAAAAGATATTTTTACCAATTCAACTTAAATGTGATAGAAACTATGAAAAAAAGAAGCCAGAAGAGACTAGAAGACAAACATTTCACAGGATGGGTCAAATTTATGTCCCAGCACAAATTGAATGTTATGCATAAGGCATCAGGTCTGTGAGACCCTGCATATGCTGTGCTGAAGACAGGGACTCAATACATTAAGACTCAATTATTAAGATAATTCTTAAATTTCTTATTCAAAATATGCCTAGCAAGAACTTTAAAAGGTAATCTTTCTTTCAAAAGCCAGTTTTGTTTTGTTCACTATGCTGGATATTTTATAGTATAGGAAATCACATCTATAAACCACACCCATTTCAAAATAATGATCTACTCTGTAATTTTCCTGTAGAGGAACTTGTAAATTATGACATTTTACTACAATTTATAATGAATAATCTGATTTGCAATGCTTCTTCTCAGGGATTACTCAATCCTGAACAAATGAACTAAAAATAAGTTAATAAATTGTTCACAGAGAGGTCTATGTTTTTCCACTTGCTTGTTTTAACTTGTAAAAAACAAAAACCATCTAGATAACCTTTTTTTGTTGTTGTTCTGAAAGAGGTAACAGTCCCCACAGCAACACTCACACAAATGTACAGGAAAATAAGGGTCTTGCTCAGTTCCTTTGTTTCTGTGAGCTCAGTAGATCTCATCACAGGGCTTGTCTTCACTAGATCTGTTAACCCAGAGTTATTTAATTCGAGCCAATCCACTGCTAAACTTTCATTCCTCACACAAACTCATTTGCTGAATTAGCAATTAAGAAGTTCTTTTAACTCCAGCCACTGTACATGCCCACTACATAGTGAGCCTGAGTGAGACTGATCAAGCAGTAACATGGGTAGCCAGAAAACTTTTCCTTTCAACTGGCACAGGAAAAACACAGCTAATTTTGCAACAAAGTGTCAAAGTCCTCTAGTCACACACAAAACCAGATCAGAAGCAAGAAATGTGTTTAGATCAATGACCCAGAAGACAGACCTCCCCTGTGCCATGATGCCCTCTCATAATTAGAAGCAGGCACATGATCGAGACGGTCTTTCTACTTTCTGGCTCCACACAACCACTCCATAATATATCTGAGTGGCCAGAGGAATTCACGCATCAGAGCTCTATCCCACAGCTGAAGGGGAAGTATTTTGCATTCTTATGCTTCTGACAGTTTCAACCAAAAGGTAACTGGTAAGAAATCTCTGTAACGCATTCATTAGTGAAGTGGTCAGTACATTAGGATTCCACGTGGTTTAAAAAAAAATTTTTAAAAAAAATCATTAGAAGTCGAAAATAATACTGGAACTAAGGGGACCGTACACAATGCTTTTTGTAAGATTTCAACACAAGTGATTAAAAAATATCTCAACTTAGCTCTCAATATCTAACAGAGATACATTGAGACATAAATTTTAAACAACAAACAAGCCACAATGATTTCTCTGAAAATCTTCCTTCCATACTGAGAAAAATGCCCAAAAGCAACCTAGCCTAATGTAAAAAAAACCCTGAAGCTGTGGTGGCTTTTTTCTCACATTACAGACTAGACAGATGCAGAAGTTAGTTTCTGTTGCTACCTCTGAAAAAAGTCTTATAGATGGCCAGACCCTTTTACACTGGCAACCTCAAGAGACTAAATCCAAAGACAGGTATTAATCTCTCTCATGCTTATGGGAAACTCTTGAAAGGTAGAGTGCAGCCACCAGAATCTCTGGCTCATCTGGGCTCAGAGATTAATAATTTACCTTTTCTTCTGTCCACTTCTCTTTGCAATGTATTGCTTAGAATAAAGAGAACATCACTGGTTTACTTTAGTCATCCTCCACCGGTCAATCAATAACTTATTCTCTTTCTTTTATTTTCAGTTGAACTTGGACTCAGAAATAGGAAGCACTTTTAAAAATGTTACTCTAAACTGCCCTGAAAAAGCCCAACTTTTTGCAGAGTAGATTCTGTCTTTCCCACCTCTAGCACATTCAAATTCACTGCTACCCATACTAAGGATCCAATTAAAAAGAATAATTTTTTTCAAGTTTTACTCTGTTGTTCTTACTACCAAGCAACAAAAGGAGAGCATATGACAGGGAACAGTATTTCCTGTCAGAAGTAGATGTTTATCTTTCAGTTCAGATGACCAAACTTTTGCTTGTCTGTTCAGAAACTACCAAAAACAATTCTTACAAGCATTTGCTGTAGAAAGGAGCTCTCTCATCTGCTTATGTTGTGTTTTAAATGATGCTCAAAACACAAGTGACTTAAAAACTCTCCTCTTAAAAAACAATTTAAGGTTTGCTACAGTCACAGTCTGTGATGCTGAAGGTAAAGCTCCCCAGTCAACACACTGACACAACTTCCACCAGAGCTTTCAGGTTTGGAAAGTTCAGGTCTACAATTTCCTTAATGCTTGTTCTGAGCAAGCACAAGAAACCAGCACCCAATGCTGAGCAGTCTGTGTACTTGGAAGCAAAGCTAGCCTGGTGACTTGAAAGTCATCAGCTAGCACTTTAGAAAATACCTAGAGATAGCCATATAGAGATTTTTTTATATTTATATATTTTCATGTTTGTAATACATATATATCTATAGGTCAAAAATATATACTGCTATTAGTAAGTCAAGATGTTGTCTATCAACAGACCAGGCAGGAGTGAAAACCAAACAGTAAGTCACAAGAGTGTGTCTCAGTCTCTGAAGCTGTTTTAATCAAATGACAGACAGAAAAAAAAAAAATTAAAAATCAGTTTCCTGTAAGATCTTGTTACTGATTGGATCAAAGTTGGAAAGAGCACACACTTGAAGATCAAGGAACAAGATCTGAAGAGGAGGGTGTTCTTAGAGCTCTAGTGCTGTTCTATTTTTTCACATTTTGGCCACTTCAGTAATAACAACAGGTGTCCAACTCTGTCAGGGAAGAGAGAGAATCCAGAAAAGCTGAAAATACAGCAAAAGTCTCTGAGTGGTATAAATACAAGACAAAGTGAAGAACTGTTTCTGCATGTTTCAGTACATATTAGCACACTGGCTGGAACAAAACCTGGGTTTAAGTGACTTGGTGCCATAACACCACAAGACAAAGTCATTATAGTACGAGAGCTAACAACCCTACAACACAATAAACCAGTACAAATTATGGAAGTATAGAAATCAGCAGCAGAAGAGGAAGGGCAAAAAGGCCGCACTTCATGAAAATAAACATCAAATGAGCTAACTGACAAACAGACCCGACAGTTAGAAGCTTACAGGTAATATGTTTTAAACTGTAGCTACTAATCTTTAAGCAGCTTTCTGTAAATAAGTTATAATCCTTTGTATGGAAAACGACAGTCCTTAAGTTTATGCTCCTGCACAAAATCCTCAAGCTGCTCATCCATCCCTCTGACCTAAGGACAGGTATTAAAACTGATAAACTCAGATAGTATTAAACAGTTTGTTGTGGAGAAAAAAAAAAGCTGGAATTCACTGGCTTAACAGTTCGGTTAGTTCAACACTAAGGCAAAAAGCGTAGAAGAAAACAAACGTTGAAAAAGATCTTGCATGAACTACAATAACATCGGACAGAGCAGAGGGACCAGTTACCCACAAAGACTAGCTGATAGCAGTGCAGGGTATTAGCCCTGGTAACTGCAAAACCCCACTAATGAAAGTTTGGTGCTGCCTAAGGCTATCAAAAGGCTTTCAAAGACACCATTCTAAAGAATTGCATAAAGGTGTAAGCTTCTCTACAAATTTTGCATGGTAACTTTAAGATAAACAAGGTTTGAGGAACATGATCCATTTCACTATCACTTCCCCTGGAGATTTATAACTGATAATATAAATGTTAATACTATTTCCACTGATTTTTGTGGAATTACTTCTTGTAAGTAAAGATCACTTAAGCAAGACTTTCAGAAGATAAAAGGCCTTAAAATATATCTGGTGACCCAAAAAGATGGTTACATTTCTTCTACTATCCTCTCTACCAGGGGGAAGTAGAAAAGTTGT